GGTTTTGATTTTGACTGTTCTTAGTCCATGCTTGCAGCACATGGGGTGACATTCCTCGTGGGGAAGACCAGATCTTCTGTAGCCACCTTGCCACCAGCCCTGGTGGCCGCTGCTGGGGCACAGACTATCTTTCATCTCCAGTGCTAGGGATCGGACATTCCCAGCCGTTTTTATTTTTTTCTTTCATTTTGAGACAGGTTCTTGCTGAGTCGCTCGGTTGCGAAGGCTGGCCTTGAATTTGCGGTGACCCTCTGCCTTAGCCTCCCGTGTATCTCAGTGACAGGTATGCACCACTGTGCCTGGCACCGCCCATGGCTTCTGAAACCTGAAGCAGCCATGGGGTGTGTTGATTTAACAGCCATTTGTGTAGACAAGCATCACCTGGCCATACATAAAAGTGTTTCAAGTGACACCAGAAACCAAAGGAGGATACAAAACGTCAGCCACCAGTGTCAGCTGGCCAGTGATAGCCTGAGCAAATGCACTGGTCTTCCCGCCCAACAGACAGCCTCAGGGCTGTGACATGAAGGAAGCCTTGTGGCCCTGCGGGGCAGGGGGCAGGCAGCCAAGGAGGGCTGGGGCGGGGCAAGTGAAGTCACAGTGACCTCTTTTTTCTTTTTTTTCAGTGCTGGGGATTGAACCTAGGGCCTTGTACATTCGAGGCAAGTGGTCTACCACTACGCTCCATCCCCAGTCCTTTTCTTTTTTGAGGCAGGGTCTCACTGTGTAGCCAGCTTGGGCCGCTCCCTAGTGCACGTGGGTGCCACTTGATCCGGACATGGTCCCCATTGTTGCAGACAGGACATGCAGGGATCTGTGGTCACACAGCCTAACAACAGTCCTGGTCCCCAAGTGGGTGTGCTCTGGGGAGGGAGGAAGCACAGGCAAGATGTCACTGTAAGCTGGGTGTGGTGGCACATGCCTGTAACCTCAGCACTCTGGAGGCTGAGGCAGGCGGATTGTCGAAGGCTTTCAGGTTGTGCCAGGCAGCTGCTGATGTGAGGCTCGGGTGGGGCAGCGAGGAGGGACGGCAACAGTGGGGACACAGTGGGGACGGTGTCTGGATCAAGTGGCACCCACGTGCACTAGGGAGCGGCACAGGCTGGCCCCTGCTCACCCTAGGCCATTGGTGCAAACCCAAGAAAATGGGTCTTTCTGGGGTGCAAGCGCCCTGTGTGGGAGCAGCTGGGCGCCTCCAGGATGGCTGGGGCGGCTCCCACTTCCGGTTCTGTCTCCGCCACCACCCAGCCGTTGGGGGGTGGGGCGCGGCCCCATCTGGCAACCGCTGGCTCCCAGCTGTGAGACAAGGCCGGAAGGGACAGGAAGCTGTGTGGCTAAAGGCACTGCACTCTGAGGAACGCTCATCAAAGAAAGGGTGGCAGCCAGGCCCAGTGGCGCACGCAGGTCATCCCAGCTACTTGGCAGGCTGAAGCAAGAGGGTCACATGTTAGAGCCCAGCCCAGGCTACTCAGTGCAAACGCTTGGGGCTCAGTCCCCAGTGCCTCCAAACGACAAGGGGTGAGGAGAGAGGGGTCCAGGCCACGGCTTGCAGCCTGGCACAGGCTCTGCGGTACCTTGTTGGATGTCGGGTGGGCAGTGCCTGGGCACCTCGGAGCCTGCATGGGCACCACCTGACCTCTGCCACCTCCCCGCTCTGGGAAGGACCCCCAGCCCCTGATAGCACCACCTGCTTCCTGTGAGCCCTGCCCAAGCCTGGGCAAGTTCGTCACAACGAGCCCACCAGGCTACACTGACCCATGCTTCGGTTTCCAGAAGGTTCTTCACTGCCACCCGTGTGAGCTGTGCGCAGTCCAGGCACAAGGTCCTGTCCATGGCCAGTGTCAGGGCACATCTCTGAGTCCACAAGGGCCACATGCCACTGTGAGGACAGTGTGGCATGGCCTGGTGGCCTCCCTCCTTGGGCTGAGACACGGGGATCTGGAGGTGGTCACCAGAGGGTGACGCGAGCTTTCCCTGAGGTCCTCGTACAGAGCAGGCGGCTTGCCGGTAAAGCTGGCAGGAGAGGATTCGGTCTTGGGGTCTGCAGGTGACCCTGAGAGGTGACCAGAGGGCCTGAGGGTTTGGCTTGTGGCTTCTAAACCTGTCACCTGTGCACTGACATATGACTCTTTGGTAACCCTAGCCAATGAGGACATCTAAGTCACATGGTGGCTCTGAGGGTAGACCTAGCCCTCAACTTTCTGTGGGGAATTCAATATTTCTACATCCTTAGGCTCTTTCAAATTTACTTCTTTATTTTTTACTTTCTTTTTTTTTTTTGAGACAGGGTCTCGCTATGTGCTTCAGGCTGGCCTTGAACTCTCGGTGATCCTCCTGCCTCAGCCTCCAGAGTACTGGGATGACGGATGTGTGCCACCACACCGGCTTTTAGTTTTCTTTTCCTTTTTTCTCTTTAATTTGGAGACAGGGTCTCAGTAAGTTGCTCAGGCTAGGTCTGAACTTTTTTTTTTTTTTTTGGCCAAACATACCCAGGATCTGCGGGCCCATGGAGTCATCTGCAAGGCCCAAACCACCCAGGGCCTGTGCACACTTCCACAGCTCATGGAGCCCGGGGCACCATGTGGCACCCTCCTCACCTAACCCCCTTGGGGACCTGTGCCAAGCTCCCTGCCACGCACCACAGCCCTGCAGGCCCTTAGGGACAGCTGTCTCACTGGAAGCCTCCTGCTCCTGCCTGGCTCATCGGGCTCCTGTCTGCAGCAGGGACACTAGCTGAGGCCCCCATGCCACCTGAACCAGTCCTATTCTCCTGTCTGTGGCAACCAGGGTGACAGGCTGGGGACAGGAGTCAAACAGTGTCCATGTGACAAAGGAGACCCAGCGAGGGTGGGAAAGTGATTTCTTTCCTGGCCTAGGGCAGAGTCCACCAAGAGGTGGGGCGTGGCTGGGTCTGGTGGTACATGCCTGTCATCCCAGCACAGCACTTGGGAGGCTGAGGCAGGAGTGCCTTGAGTTTGAGGCCAGCCCGGGGTACACAGCAAGACCGTGTCTCAAAACAAACAAGCAAACACCAAAACTAAAGATATCAAGGAGTGTCACAGAGGGATAGCACACAGTTATCACAATGCAACAGAGAAGCCATCACTGCTTCCTTAATTTATTTATTGGTACCAGGGATCGAACTCGGGTCCTTGCACTTGCACAGCAGGCAGTGAAACCACTGAGCTAAATCCCCGGCCCCTGCTTCCTTACTTTATAGGGGAGGGAGTTGACCAGAGAGGGCTGGTGACTGCCCAAGGTCACACAGGGCAGTTGGTGGCAGTGGTAGTCATATAAGCAGGGGCTCTTTGGCATTTCTCAAATGAGTGCTTCCAACTGCATAAATGAAAACACAGAGAACTGCCAAATAAATTTAGCATGTGAAAACAGGATGATGCCAGGCATGGTGGCACACACCCATTATCCCAGCACTCAGGAGGCTGAAGGCAGGAGGATCACCATTAAATTTGAGGACAGTCTGGGCTAAGTAGTGAATTCAAGGCCAGCCTGAACTACACAGCGAGACTCTGTCTCAAAACAAACAAACAAACAGCAAACAAAAACCCAAGGCCTCGTGCATGCTAGGCAAGCACTCTACCAATGATTTACATTTCTAGTCCTTTTTATTTTGAGTAAAGGTCTCTCTAAATTGCCCAGGCTGGCCTAGAACTCCGGATTCTCCTGCTTCAGCCTCTTGAGTAGCTGCAATTCCAGGTGTGCAGCGCCACCACACCTGGCTGATTATTACATTTTTGCTGCCCCCCCCAACACCCCAGGGTTGGGGATGGGACCCAGGGCTTTGCTAGGAAGGAGCTCTACACCGAGCTACATCCCCAGCCCTATTAACAATATTTTTGAAAAAGTGTGATAGTATCTGTGCTTCTTCCCTAACACATTAAATTACAAAATCTACCAGCAAGTTGAACACAGTAATTTCAAAGTATGTCAGCCTGACGGTAGATCTTGTCATTTAGTTCACCTCTAGATGCCTACAGCACAGCCATAGGTCTGAAACGTTCTGCGCATTTACTTTGGTGACAAAGTCTCAAGTATGGTTAATGCTCTGTACTGTGCTGCCTGCGTCTGACTTGGACTAGAGAATACCGATGCAATGAGGCCCGAGTGGAGGATCATCATCTGCTCTCGCTCCGAGCTGCAGGGGCACTGGGCTACAGTCAGCGTGGGACAGCGAGGGTGACGCTGGAGCTGCCTCCCAAGAGATTCAGAGCCAGGGGCGACGCCGGGTCCCACTGCGCAAAGTGGTTCTGACAATTTACAGCGTTGGCGCGAAAAGGCCAGCGACCACCATCCGGGTATTTTGACTCTCTCGCTAGGCTGGGGAAAATTCAAATCTGAAAAAGGGCGGACCCGAAAAGCGGCAGTGCGCCTGCGCAGGGGCGGGGCGCGGGCCCTGGGAAGCGGGAGGGGAGCGCTGACGCGGGCTGACGCGAGTGACGCAGACCGCTCCCGCGCTCGCCCGTCCGGCTACTCTGGTCTGGCTCCGCCAGCCCGGCTGTGCGCCCTGAAACCGGCGGGTCAGGGAGGGAGGGACGACGGGGACGGCCTGGTGTGCAGGGCCCCGGTTTTGGCGCTGGGCCCGGCTCAGTTCACCGAGGCGCGGGAGGAGGCGGTGGCGCCCGGGGGCGGGGCCGGCAGAGCCTGGGAGCGGGTGTCAGCCCCGCCCCCAAGCGCTTGCGCTCAGCTGCGTCACCGCCCATTCTCGCCCCGCCCAAGCCTCCACCGCGGTCCGTCTCCTGCGGCTGCTGACAGTGCTGGGCGGGAAAACGGCTGCTCTTCGCCCGAAGGCGCTACTGTAGTGTTTGTTCCCTGCTACCCTTAGCACCCGTTCCCCCGTCCCCATTGCTGGTTAAAAGTAACTCCTCTGGCTTTTGTCCCTTCAGCGACCCGGGAGACTGTTCCGGGGGGGGAGGGGCCAAACGCGCGCGCGTGTGGGGGGGCTGACATTCTCATCCGGGCATCCCCAGGGGCCGCCGCCGCCGCCATCTTTGTTTTGTGCTGAAAATCGCTTTTGACGCCTGTGGACGGCCGGGCGAGGGGAAGTGGCAAGATGGCGGCTCCCAGGGCAGAGGCGTGGAGGCGAGCTCTGGGGAGCCTTGGGGCGAGGCGTGTCTGCACCTGACCCAAGCGCGGTTCGAACCCTAGGCGAATGCGCAGCACTACCCACTTCCCCCACTGCGAGGCAGCGCAGGGGTCCTGTAAGAGGCTTGGGCCCAGAGACGCAGCGGTGCGAGGGCGGGGGGCGTGACGTCACCAGGCTCCGCCCCCTCGCCCGACCGCCGCCGCCATGTTTAGTTGTTACTTCTTCACACAAGATGGCGGCTCCCAGGGAGGAGGCATGAGCGCCCTGCCGTTACCGCTCCTCCTGCCGTACAGTTGCCACTTGTGGGCCTAACTTGGGCTTTTTGGAGCGGCTCCTGTGGGACGCAGTCATAAAGAGGGAAGCGAGGATTGGACGCTACCTTGCATTTGGTTTGCACTGGAAGAACTGACCTAGGAGGAAAAGAATAGGGGGGGGAAGGGGGAGCTAGTCTCAAGATGGCGGCTCCCAGGGCGGCAGGCGCAGCCTGAGCAGCAGAGGCGGACTCAAGGGAGGGGCGCGAGACCTCACGAGCCGTACGGCGCGGACCCCAAGTAGCCCCGGAGAGTTGGAGCTGCTTGCACAGGCCTCCGGCGCGCCTCTGTTCCTTGGAGTGTCGCGGCCGTTTCGGGAGCGGTGGCCAAGCTGAGCGCTGGGCGAGGAAGCGGGACAGTCTCAAGATGGCGGCTCCCACAATTGTGGTCTGAGCGCCGTCGGGGCTACGACGACCGCGGCGCCCGTGGCTCCTTTCCACCCGCCCCGGAAGCCGGCCAGTACTGGGGACTTGGGGGTGTGGGAACCGGGCCGGGGCTCCGCCATTTCCGGCGGGGGAGGGCTACGACTGAGGAAGGGAGGAGAGAGAGGCGGCTCAAGATGGCGGCTCCCAGGGCCTCCCGCCCAAGCTCGTGAGCCGGGACACCCGGACGAAGACTCAGGGCGGCGGCACTCGGCAGCCCGCAGTTCCGCGGGCCTGGGCGCCCGCCGGCGTCGGCAAGCTCTCGAGGGGATTGGGCGCGCGAGCAGGCGGGGAAGAGCTGTGGGGACGGACGGCAGTTAAGATGGCGGCCTCCATGGAGCCGTCCAGCTCCGTGTGAGGAGCCGCTGCTCCGCGAGCGCTGCCCGATAGCGAGGGGGTGTGTGCGCGGACCCGGGCCGCCCTTCCCGCCGCCGACTCTCCCGCCGCGCACTCCCCGAGCCATGGCCTCGGCCGTGCCGCCCGCCAGCTCGCCGGCCGTGCTCCTGCAGCCCCGCTGGAAGCGGGTGGTGGGCTGGTCGGGCCCCGTGCCCCGGCCCCGTCACGGCCACCGCGCCGTGGCCATCAAGGAGCTCATCGTGGTGTTCGGCGGAGGCAACGAGGGGATCGTGGACGAGCTGCACGTGTACAACACGGGTGAGTGCGAAGCCCGCCGGCCGCGAGCCCTCCCTTCCCTTCCCCGCCGCCTCCCGCGCCCGCCCTGCCTCCCTCCCACCCGCCTCCCTCCTCCTCCGTCCCCGCCTCGCTCTCCCCGCCGCTCCGCTTTCTTCTCGCCCGCCCGCGGTGGGGTCACTTGGCGTTTCTCCGGAGGAACCCTGGGGGCCGACGCAGGGAGGGGGCGAGGGAGGGGGCGCGGCGCCGCTCCAGACCCCGCCGTTAGTTGCCGGGGGCCGGGCCCCAGTGCCGCGGGCAGACATTGGGTCGGGAGGGAACAGGGCGCGCTCCGGGAGAAGAGGGCTAGCCTGGCTCCCCGGGCTGTGTGCCAGTGGGGGGGGGGGGCGGACGACGGATCGATCCCTGGCCGCGGCGACCCCCTCTGGGCATTCACTTTTGCAGTTTGTTTTCCAAATCGCCGCTTGGTAATCGCCCGGTAATCGTCGCCTTGGGGCGGGCCTGGTAAATCCGTTTTGCGCCGGGGCAGGTAGCCCTTGCCTGCCCGCCTGCTCGCGGGGGCAGTGCCGCCCCCGTGCCTCGCCCACGCCGGAGCCCCTGCACCAGCTGGCCCCTGCTCCCTCGTGGGAGCCACATGTCTCTTGCTCGGGGTCCTGGCTGACTCTCCAGTTGGGAGCCTGCTGCTTTCATTGTTGTCACGGCTTTGTCGCATCTTTCCGGGGTCGCCTCTGTGCCCCTTTGCACACCTAGCAGCCCAAGGGCCACCTGTCAGCCGCAGGACCTCCCCTGGGTCCGGGAGGGGCCGACCCCGCCACAGCTCCCCACGCTCCCACGCTGTCCTGGCGGGCTCCGTGGGGCCCCCCAGCCTACTGGCGCTGGGGACTCTTTGTGTTCGTGCTCCAGGCACCTGTTGCCTCTGTCCGGGCCAGCCTGGCAGCTGCGGAGCAGGAATCAGCCCATGAGCCGGGGCCAAGGGCAGGGCCAGGGCCTCCAGGCTTCGGGGCTGTTTTTAGCTCTGCCTGGGCTGCGCGCAGCAGCGCCTTCAGCACCCCTCGGACCGACTTTCTTCCAAGGCCTCGGAAAGTGGCCCAGGGGGTTGGCCGCCCGCCCCTGCGTGCACCCTTGGTTTCAGAGATGAACTGTCCCCTTGCACTGGTCCTTTCAGTCTGCGGGACCTGGCCCCAAGATGACCGCCCCCTGCCAGCTCTAGTGCAGTTGGGGGACCCGGGGTGCCTGCAGCTTGGCAGCCAGAGTCCTGGCAGGGCCTGGTGCCACCTCTGCTCCTTACCTTAGTCTTGTGTCCTTTGTTTTGTTTCGAATGAGGCCAAGGCATGTTCTCAGGCCTCAGCCTCCAGCCTTGCCCTTGGTGAGAATTTCTGCTCTGGGATCGGGGGCCAGGGCTGGGCTGTGCACTGTGTCTGGGAGGGGTGTGAGAGTGAGAATGCCAGCGGGTGGCCTTCTTCTTTGGTGGCAGTCACCATGAGGGGGCCACCTGACTGGCCTCTGGTAGGCCTTCGGTGGCCACGCGCCTCATCTTGTCAGAGCGGGCTGCGCCTGCTGAAGGGGTGCTTGCTTTGGCTCAGGAGCTTTTAGGCTCTGGGCTCTTGGCTGGAAGGAGCTTTGGAAATCTCTAGCGGACTTCCTCGTTTCTGAAGATGAGGGACTGGCGTCTGAGGGGGAAGTGACAGGTCCAGGGTCACTGCCAGTGGGTGGCAGGCTGGGCGGGAGCCCAGACCCTCATGGGGAGTGTTCCCTGCCTGTCTCCTACTTTGGTCAACAAGCCCGGGCCGCTGCCTCGACCGCTCTCTTCTTCTCCGTCCCTGTACTAGTTGTTCACCAAGTGCAGCTGGTGTCCCTTCTGTCCTCATTGCTTCCCCGCCTCTAGAAGTCACTTCCTCACTGGCCCTGCTCGCTTCATTCCTCGGGAAATCCTGTTCACTGTTCGTTCGGCCGGGCTCGAGTGTCACCTCTTCTGAGAAGCCCTTTGCATAAGCTCTCCTTGTCCCTCTGGCTCTGCTCCCAAGGGCCAGCCTTAGTGCTGGGCTCTTCCAGGGTGTTCTTCCCATCCCTGGAGAGGTTCCACGGCCTTCTCACCAGATGGGAAGTATAGGGCTGGGCCTGGGAGGGGCACACTGGAAACGCTATGATGTGACGGGCTGAACAGAAAGGACAATGACGCCTGTCACCCTAGCATTGAGGCGGGAGGGCTGCTGCGAGTTCAAGCCCAGCCTGGGCTACATAGTAAGGCCCTGTCTCAAAAAGTAAAAAAGACGATGACTGCATCTGCCCTGCTGGGTGGGTGCCAGTGTTGAGGTGGCCACAGGACAGCATCAAGTACAAATGGAGTTGGCAGCCCGGAAGTGAGTGGGAGGCCCAGTGGCACAGATAGAAGCCCGCCTTGCTCTTGCAGAGGAGAGGCTCCTGCAGATTGTCCCTGATTCCCCTCCGACGACGAGTGGCAGCCTGGAGGGCAGTAGCATGTCAGGGCACGGGCGGAGTGAAGCCCAGAATGAGTTGCGTGGTGCTGGGTGGGTGATGGGGGGCGCCTGAGGGCAGCTGCTAGATTGAGATGACAGAAGAGCTTGGGGCTTGTGGGTGGAAGGGGAGAAGCGGAGCTCTCTGTGGCAGGGGTGCGCTCTGACAGGTGCTCTTATTGGGGCTTGGAGAGGGCCCTGCCTTAGCTGGAATATTGTAGAATGTAGAAGGAGCCTGGGGGCCTCAGTGGTCATTTCTCACCTTGCCTGCTAGCTCAGCCTTCACGCTGAATCCAGCAAGGCCTCCAGAGCTGTGTGCCCTGCCACCAGGGTGTGCTAGTGAGGGAGAGCCTGGCTATGTGTAGAACCATGCGCAGGGCTGAGTGGCCTCGGGTGAGCCACTGCTCCCAGGCCCCGTCCCCGACGATGCAACTCGCCTCTTGGCCGTCTCTCCTGACTTGTGCAGCGTGGATCTGTGTGCTTCCCTTGGTTCTTTTTTGCTCTTGCACTAGGGACAAGAGTGAAGCAGAGCCGGTGCACCTGTGGCTGCATGCCTGGGCAGCAGCTGGGTGGTGGTGACTCAGCTAAACAGCTGTTCCGTCACCTGTGGCATAGGGGTCTCCCCTGCCTGGGAGCCTCGCCTCGCCCTGGGTGGTCAGACAGGTGGATGTCTGCAGCCTCTTGCACCCCAGCGGCTCGGGCCCTGTTCAGAAGCGGCAGTCTGGACAGTTCCCCTCCCTAGGAACATCCTAACCCGTGCTCTGGAGCCATAGCGCGCAGCTGGGGAAGGGGTGGCACGTCCTCTGGTGGGGCGGCCTGGGCACCTTAGGCGGGAGGGGCACGGGCCTGGGCTAGGCCGCTGCAGGCTCCGAGAGTCCTCCCATGCGTCACAAGGCTCTTTTCCAGCTGCCACCACTGGCTGGAGAATGTTCTGGAGTGGTGTAGGCGGGGCGGTGGGGGAGGGGTGCCGCTGTCGCGCCTGCAGACCATCACCTAGGAGACAGAGCCCGGGAAGTGGGAAGCGACAGCGAGAGCTGCGGCCAGGGCTCCTGGAGAGGGCACTGTGGGCATGGAGGTTGGAGGTTTATTTGCGATGCTCCTCCAAGCCCTAGGGGAAGGAAGTCGGTGGCCAGATTCCCAGAAGCTGATGAATTATCTTGCTCAGCAGCTTCCTGCCTGCTGACGTGACCATGACGGGAAGCAGGGTCTCGCAGGCCGCTGGTGGCGGGCTGAAGGCCGAGGCTGTGGCACGTGGCATGGCTAGGCGGGCTGAAGGCTAGAGTGGCATGGGAAGGCCTGGGACTCGGAATGGGCAGTGGGGCAGGGTTCAGGTGCTCCTGGGTGGTTTGACCTGTGCTTCTTTCGGTCCTCCAGCGACCAACCAGTGGTTCATCCCGGCTGTGAGAGGGGACATCCCTCCCGGCTGCGCGGCCTATGGCTTTGTCTGCGACGGCACCCGCCTGCTGGTGTTCGGCGGGATGGTGGAGTACGGGAAGTACAGCAATGACCTCTACGAGCTCCAGGTAACAGGGTCCCTTCCCGCCGCCTTGGGGGAAGGACCCCCAGGAGCCGGCCTCAGAGTCTCTCTGGAAGCATCCTCTCCCCTGTCCCCTCCCCCGTGACCTCCTCGTCCTGGGACGATGATAGCTGTGAGTCTTGATTTTACAGGCAAGTCGTTGGGAGTGGAAGAGACTCAAAGCAAAGACACCCAAAAATGGGCCCCCTCCATGTCCTCGGCTCGGGCATAGCTTCTCCCTTGTGGGCAACAAATGCTACCTGTTTGGGGGTCTGGCCAATGATAGCGAGGACCCCAAGAACAACATTCCGAGGTGAGGCTCCCTGCTTTGCTCTGTGGGTCTTCGAGCGGAGGTGCTCGACTCAACGCAGGCCCTCTCAGATATGCACGTTAGCGCCACACGGCCCTGCCCTCCCCAGGCCTGGCCTGTGCATGCCCCTGAGAGCCTCCTGGCTCTGAATCTGAAAACCGAGTGGACCTTATGGCCAGGCTGGACCTGCTTGTCCTGGGGCCGTCCCTGCAACCTGGGCCCCGGACCCGGGCCCATCGCTTTCCCACCTAGCAGCCAATGCCTACAAGGCTTCTGGAGGGTGTTTTCTGAGGCCAGCTGCAGGCCCTCTATCTGTCCAGAGGCAGTCCCGGAGCCAACACCCTGGCTCTGGGGAGGCCCTTATAATGGCCTGCTTTGTGTGTGCACGCAGGGCTTGACAGGGTGGGTCTGAGCTTGAGGCCACCCCTGTGGCCTCACACACCCTGTCCCACTGCCTCAGTCTGACTCACCCTTGGGACCTGTCAGCCCCTTCGAGGTGAAGGTGGAGGAATCTGGATTCACCCCTCCCTTTTCTGGGAGTGTGCTGTCACTGGTGAAAACCCATTGAGACCTCGAGGTGTGGTGTGGCGGCTGGCTATAATCAATCAATCTCTCTCTCTCTCTCTCTCTCTGTCTCTCTCTCTCTCTCTCTCTCTCTCTCT